CGTACCGGGGACCGGCAACGGGATCGCAACCCTCGGTGTTGCGCCCGCACCTCGCTCAGCCAGTGAGCGGGAACCGGTCTCCACATGGGATCCGAACCCTCAGCGGGAGCGCCACCACACTCCCAAGCAGCGCACTCTCCAGTGCGCCACCGGGCCGGCCCAAACCAAGCACCTTTTAATATCTTTATGAAGTTGGATAATGCTGGTGGCCTTGTAAGTAGGCCTTCAGATGTCCCGGTCATGCTATGGCACTAGATCTACTTCCCACTCGTAGTACCACCTCTGAAAAGGAGGCAAGGAATTCAGAACTACTGCAGGGATTGTTACATAAGGACACATTACAATTTTCCTTAACATGTTGTTTTTCATATTTAATATTGTTTATAAATATAATTACTCCATCGTAAAAAGAGTTGTACATAAACTTGATAACTGTAAGACAATCAATTGCATTTTGTTGCAGTTGCCAAGTACACTCTTGCTTTTTGTTTTCCCTGTCACTTAGGGAACGGTTATCATCATTGCAAATCATGGTGACAGAATCGACATCCCACCTGGAGCAGTATTAGAGAACAAGATTGTATCTGGAAACCTTCGCATTTTGGACCACTGAAATGAAAAATATTGTGTACACTTTATACTAATTATGACCTAAATAGTTTCTTACAATAAAATATTCTCTAGGATTCTAAAATAGGCAGGTACTTTTACTATGTTACTGTACACTGCAGTGTTGATTTTTAGAGTTTTCTGCAGTATGCTTTCAGTGTAAGAAAAGCACAGATGGAGCAAATACTTTGTTTCTTTGAAGAGGACCCCCAAAGTTAATTCATCTTAGAGTGCAATATTGTTTAATCTTAAAACTGGGGCAGCTCTGCTGGAAGATCTTTTAAGAGAAGCCTCGATGACAGTCACTTTGAATTGCTTGTGATTTCAAAAATAAAGCGGAGAAGCAATACATGTGTACACTTGTACTTTTTAATGCTAACTTTATAAATGCCAAAAGAAAATGGTTTACTCTTATTGAATAGTTACCATCTAAGTTGGAAGACTTGCTCTTGGAATATTTCAGTAGTTACTGGCTAGTTAACTAGCACATCCAGTTTTTTGCATTTCTAAGAATCTGAACCACTTCATTATTTCCATAGGAAATAAACATGTAGGTATCTAGTACCTTTCATCTTGTTCTAAAGCTGGGGTGCCTGCCATACTTTCCACAGACTCTCCATTTATTGAAACAAAGTGGCATTTCTATTCCCAGCTGAAGGGGGGCAGGAGGAGGCATTTCTTTGACATCCTTGTACTCTTGTATAGTGGGCTGGGAGTATAACTTCATATAAAGTTTTCCCTTTCCTTCAAGCTTCATTTCTTGAAACTTGCTTTTTGTCACTGAAAAATGTTCATGAATGACCTTTCAAGTCAGGTCTGCTGGTTGTTTGATTTATGCCTTTTCTCTAAGAATCAATTGCATTTCATCCATACTTGTTTTGAGTAGGCTGCCTGTTTAAAGGTCACTGTATACTATTAAAAAAGAAGTTGTCTTTTTATAGTCTGGTAATTTTTTACAACTTTATTTTTGACATACAGTTTAAGAACCGATGACATACCTCTGTAATGATATAGGAAAGAAAACAAGCTTTCCTTTTAAGAAACCGAAGAGCACAAAATAAGACGATTTCATTGTACATAATCACAAGATTAGGCACTCTGACAGGGTTAGGCAAGATTCTTGGTGTGAGGTGAGGCACAGGCACTTTCATATGTAGAGTGCTGCTGAGTCTAATTTTGAAGGTAGGTATTATAAAAGTCTTTAAATAACTTACTCATCACTTTATATTTCTGGCCCCAACATGGCAGCCTATATTTTAAAAATTCTGTTTCTCCCTGGTCTTTGTTCATATACATATTGAAAGTAACTTAAAAACAATCCAAGGGGGCCATACTTCATGTGTTATCTAAATATTAAAATGAGAACTCATAAGCAGGCAGATTATATATATTCATGTATTCTACCTCCTAGAAATAAAAAGGAAAAAAAACCCCAGAAAAACCCAAAACCCTTCATAGATACTTCTATAAAAATACAGATGGTAAATGGTAGGCTTTTGTATACCACTTCTGAAAAGTATTTAAATTAATTAGTAGTTAGTTACATAAATAAGTGCCAATATCTTATTCTTTAATTATTACTTGTAATCAGCCTTTCAAGAATTTAGACTGTTCTGGAAGGCTTTATCCAGTTGACATACCGTGGTAGTAGAAAGATTAAATGTGCAACACACAAAACCTGAAACTTGACATTAGTCACTAAAACAAAAATTGAATTCCTAAATCCAAGCAATCAAAAGATGTTTATTTTTTATAGAAAGATCTGTAAAAAAATAATTTTTCAAACAGCTTTACTTTCATAGAGAAAACTTTCTACAGAGGTTGACTAAGATTTTAATATTTTAAATTGTACCATCATTAAATAAGGTGGGACACCATATGAATTTCATTGCACTGGAAGAAATGCAAAGCATTTTTAATATAAAGTATACAGAGCATTCTAGTCAACTACAGCTGTGTTACAGCTATGTGTTCTTTTGGATTTGGTCCAAAGAAACCTGAGTCTGTTTCCAGAGAGAATGAAAAATGTTATAGACACCTGATCGGTTAACTCCTCACTGAAGGATGCAAAAAATGGCATTTCTTGTAGATCCCACTGAATCCAGTTTCCCGACACTGATACTTCACTTTCCCCCTCCCCCACGCCAGGTCACTTTGGGTTCCTGGTTCAGTTCTTGAATCACAGGCATCCAGATTTTCTTCATAAACATACACATCCCGTGGTCAGACGAACTACCCAGTTTTCCAGTATGTCATCACCTCTTCTGTTCCCAGATCTCGGCCATATTTAGGTCCAAATCTTTAAGGCCTTTTAAGGCTTGAAGATTTCCAGTGTAAAAAGCTACATCTGCTGTGACCAACCTAAACATTGGAGAGAAAATTATTCTTAAATCTCACACTTTCTATTTGGATAATTAAAGTAAAAATGCTCATGGAGTCAGAGTCCCATCCTAGTTCCTACAGTATTTAAAATTCTGATTTCCTAGGGACCAAATATCAACATATTTCTCTTATTAGGATTCCTGCTATCATATACTTAGGCCATTTAATGCTCCATGTATTTCAGTAATAAATGTTTGGAAAAAGAACAAACTAATGCATGTTGGAGTTAGTTTTGTAATAAATTCTACCCAGTAAAATCAGATTTATTTTAAAAGAGCACTGAGTAAAATACAGAAAAAAAAAAAAAAAAAAACAGGCTAAACTACAATGTTTTCAATTGGTTGGCACCAGAGCATGTGTGTGTGACTAAAACAGTAAACTTGAAAGAAAGGCCAGGTTCCCTGAGTGCCATCTAAGGAATTAAATGAAGGCTAGGACTCATGTATATAACTCCTACTGGATATGAAACTTGATACTTAAAAAAAAAAATAGGAATTAAAAAAAATTAACTTCTCAATATACATTGTAGTCGATTTTCATGACCCTTTCCCTGTTCCTTTTCCCCCTCCCTCCCTCCCCACATCCATTATATAAAACTTGATACTTATAATCACTATAATGACATGATGAAAAAGAAAAGAATTACACTTTGAGTACTGAGCTGTCACCTTAACACCTATAACTGAAAGAATACTTACTTTAGACCCTGACTTAATAAATAGTAATTGTTTATCCTTTGACTCACCAAAAAAAAATGAAACATGCCTTTTTAAAAATGTCATATAAGTTCTAATTTGATGCTAATAGTTTGTTCAACTGCAATGTCACTTTTTCTTTAATGCAAGTATATTCTAAAGTTCAGAAAAAATTTTGAAAAATGAAAAATTGTTATAAAATTGGTGAGGCACAGGTACTTACATATGTAGAGTGCTGCTGAGTCTAATTTTGAAATAATTAAAATAGGATAAAAATATAAGTATATAGAAGAAGAGTTTAATACATGAACAGCAGATTTCTAATTGTGAAAGAGGAGAGCTATTTTTTAAAATTAATGTCTGTAGGGTAAGGATGCCGCCCCCCATAAAATAGCTCAGCGGCAAGACACCAAAGGAGCTTTATACACAATTATTTCCCAGTGTAGCAATCAGACTCTGAGGACAAATGGGTTATATAGAAAATGTAGTTCACCCTGAAAATAAATATTTTTGCACTTTATAAATGGACATTTAAAATGCAGTTGTGAAGTAGTGAGTTTACATTTCTTAATAGCTTATCAATATAGAACAGGACTCTTTAAATGAATAAAGTACTACTCCATATGGAATGTTCAGCTTTCAACCTAGTCTCAATTTAACTCATTAATAGTTTAGTTTGGGGTATAGGTAACTTTGCCTTGCAAATAGTGTGTGTAATATGTTGGTAGAATAAATGAAGATCCTAATATTATATAGAAATACAGTCTGAAATTCAAATAAATGTAGAATGATACATTTTCAATCATGAATTAATATTCTAGCAATCAACAGTCTTCTAAGGTTAGAAATAAGAAAATGCTCACAAAGTACATGGCCTGCTGCCTGGCACACAACACACAAGTGTCCTCATTTACTAAGAAAAAGAGGCTGTTACCTCACGAGTCCAGTCCCTGGAGCAACTCATCTACTGACACTGAAGTGACCCACAAGGAAGACATCACTTAAGAAATCATTGAATGGGTACATTTAAAATAAGAAATCTTACCTATCCCAATCTTTCTTAAGGCAGGCCAAAGTGATGATTTAATTGAATTAATTGCTAGGAAAACAGTTCTCTCTAAACCACTCATAATCTTGATTCTTTAGGAGGAAATCAATGATCTAAAACCTAAGATTCCAAATCTGTGCCTAGCAGACAGTCTGTAAATGGCCTTTACAGCTGCAGAAGAAAACAGGTAATGAACGGCATTTAGAGAGCACCTCATACATTTTAAAGTGCTTTCATTTATAATATTTTACTTTATTCCACAATAACCCTGGGAGGTATTATTATTACTCCATCTTACAAATGGAAAAGTTGAGGCTTAGAGTGACTGAGTCACAGACGGCTGCTCCTGTGGGGCCTGGAGCAGATGTGTGTGATGGCAGGGCTCTCATTCTTGGTCTCAGCAGTTTTCAGCTTTCAAGCCTTTAGCTGAATGGATAGGTTCAATTAAGGGAAAAAAGAGCAGGGAGCCAAAGTGGACCTTAGTCCAATCATTAAGTGATTAGGTACCACTGATTTCTAACAGAATACATTTCTCCTGTTTTAACTTAGTTACGCCAATAGACTACCTGTAATCTAAATATTTTATATCATTCCTGTGAAGGTGAGTGTCATTTTTCAGATGTCTGACCTCAGTCTGATAAAACTTATATATTCTATGGACTCACAGGTAAACAGAAATGTCAATGCTCCATGCATAAAAAATAGGTACTGGGGCCAGCCCGGTGGCGCACTGCTACAGTGTGCCGCTTGGGAGCGTGGCAGCGCTCCCGCTGAGGGTTCGGATCCCACATACAGACCAGTTCCCGCTCACTGGCTGAGTGAGGTGCGGGCGCAGCGCCGGGGGTTGCGATCCCGTTGCCGGTGCCAGCCCGGTATGGGCGCGACACTGAGGGTTGCAATCCGTTGCCGGACACGAAAAAAGACAAAAAGGAAAAAAAAAAAAATAGGTACTGGGGCCAGCCCGGTGGCGCACTGCNACGGGATCGCAACCCTTGGTGTTGCGCCCGCACCGCGCCCAGTCAGTGAGCGGGAACCGGTCTCCACATGGGATCCGAACCCTCGGCAGGAGCGCTGCCGTGCTCCCAAGCGGCGCACTCTCCAGTGCGCCACCGGGCCGGCCCAGGTTAGGCTCATTTTAATGAATATGTAAGTTCTGCATTTGCTGTACTACATGGGAGCAAATATTAAGAAAAGGTACATGGCAGTAAGGACTAGTTTTTTTGTTTGAAACTCATCTAATTCAGGGTGTTTCAAAACCTATAAAAAAGATTCTAAATTACCATGGTTCTTGGGATAACAGTGTATCCGTACTGAAAGCAATGGCTCAAAAAAGAAAATCTTTCTAAGGCAAAGTCCCATATCAAAAATAAAACAAAAAATTAACATAATTTTTAAATAAATATTTTTAATACTATCAAAATCTATGTTTAGTAAACACAACTATTTCCAGTCTGTACAGGAAAGTGTATAGAAAATGTTTTACAAAGTTGAAAAATTTTGTTTGATATGAGAACATAAAAGTGGATATTTGTTACATAAAGCCAACAAAGGACTAGTATGAGAGAATATAAAAATCTAAGATCAAGAAAAAGACCCCCCCCCAAAAAAAACCCAAGAGAAAAGCAAGACAAAGTCACAGAGATGAGAATACCTGAATGACCAATAAACTATGAAAAGATGGTATGCATCAGGAAAATACAAATCAAAACAAGAAACCATTATCCCCCTTGAGACTGGCAATAATTAAGAAATCTAACAGCAGCAAATGTTGGTAAGATGTGAGAAACAAACTCTCACAAACTACTAGTGGGAGTATAAACATGATACAGCCATTGGCAATACCTAGTGGAATAAAAATGTGCATGTGCTCTGATCCACTTGCAGGTATATACCCTAAGGAATCAGTTGCACCATTAGACATGGATAAGGATATTCACTATGGCATGACAGTAATGGAAAAGGGTAATGACTTAGAAATCTGCTATTAGGGGAAATGGATAATTTAAATATGGTTGATTCATGTGATGGAATCCTATACAGCAGTCAAGATGGACTACTTCCATATATCAACATAGATAAATCAGTAACAATGCTGAGTGGAAAAAAAGCAAGCTACATATTTGCAATATACCGTAAAAGTAAGTTAAATTTACAAAACAACACTACATATTTTTCATAGATATAGAGATAATAAGTGAGAGAACTGAAAGAATATAGACCAAATTCTCTAGAAATGCAGTCTAAAGGTTGGAAGGAAAAGGGAATGGTACTGGAGATGGGGTGTCAAGGTATACTTTGGCTTCATTTGGAATGCCATTTTTCTGTGAATGCCATTTTTTATGTGATAAGCATTTTTTAAAGTAAAAATGACAAATGTTAATAATGATCAGTTCTGGATAGCAGGATTATAAATATTTTCTTATTTATAGTTATGTGTCACTTAACAATAGGGATATGTTCTGAGAAATGCATCATTAAGTGATTTTGCTATTGTGTGAACATCATAGAGTGTACTTACTCAAACCTAGATGATATAATAGCCTGCAATATACCTAAGCTATATGACAGCCATTATAATCTTATGGATCACTGTTGCATATGCAGTCTGTCATTGACCAAAATATGTGGTGCATGACTGTATGTCACTGTATTTAAAAAATATCCGAAAATAGAGAAAAAGAAAATAATGTTAAGAAGAAAATGTACAGGGCTAGGGGAGGGTGGAATAGGGAATAACTGCCTAATGGGTACAAGATTTTCTTTTGGGGTAGGTGAAAATGTTTTAGAACTAGTTAGAGGTGGTGAATGCACAACACTGAATGCACTAAGTGCCACTGAACTGTTCACTTTAAAACAGTTAATTTTATATTATGTGGATTTCACCTCAAAAAAACAAAAAAGGAAAAGAAAAGGTACATTTTTAGAGCAATTACAGGAACAAAAATTCCTTTTGTGCAGGCAGTTATATCCTTGGATAAAGTGGAGAGGTTAAGTTTCAGGGAATCCTGTCTTTTAAAGGATAATTCAAAGACATGAATTGACTTACTCAGGATTAGTATATGTGAGAATGTGACAGTGACAATCTTTAAGGTCATACCGATCCTCACATAGGTATATTAACAAAGAAAATAATAGCCAATGAATTAGCTTGGATGCTTCAGAACTATTCATCTGAGGAAAAACAATCAACCAACCCAGATTTAGTTATGGGAATAAAAGTAAAAGGATACAAATGGGATGAGCCTTAAAAATACTACAAGCTTTTTTTGAACATTCTCCTTAGGGCGCAGTATACATCTGTATTGGGAATCTCTAAGTTCCTAATATGCTACTATCTTTTTAGAAGATGGAAGTTCAATAGCAGGTACCATATGTATGTACCATTTGTACCACTAGACATCAAGTGGGCAATATACACAGTGTCACCCATGTGGTGTTCTTATTGAAAATATCTGACTGAATATTGGTGTGATGCTATTAAATTAATGTTGATTTTCTTAGAAGGAGTTATGGTATTATGGTTTATTAAAATGTCCTTGTTTTTAGAGATGCATGCCAAAGTATTTAGAAGTTAAATTTCATGATGACTGCAGCCGGGGAGATCAGGAGGTGAGGGAGGGAGAGAAAGCAGCAGGGAGAATGTAGCAAAATGTTAACAGTTGGTAAATCTAGGTGAGAAGTATTCAGTGTTCATTATCCTGTCCCTTAAGTTTTCTGTGGCTCTGAAATTTTTTAAACCAAGTAATTCTTTAAAAAGAAAAAGAAACAGGTAATAATCAAGGGAGAATATATTTTTGCATGAAACTTAAGTTTGGCCCGGCTGGCAGATTTAGCAGACTGAAGCTTCCAAATAGTTTTTTGCAAAAATCAATTCAGTGTACAGTTGTCCCTCAGTATCTATGGGGAACTGGTTCCAGGACCTCCTACAGATACCAAAATCTGAGGATGCTCAAGTCCCTTATATAAAATGATGTAGTATTTGAATATAACCTATGCACATCCTCTCATATACTTTAAAACATCTCTAAATCACTTATGATACCTAATTTAACATAAATGTTATGTAAATAGTTGTTACACTGTATTTTTTGGAGAATAAAGACAAGAAAAAATAGTCTGTACATGTTAATATAGACTCCATTTTTTTGTGTGTGACTATTTTTTATCCATAGTTGGTTGAATCCACTGATGTGAAACCCATGGATATGGAGGGCTGACTGTATTTCTTTTAAATGGTAGGGCCAACTTCTGACCCCAAAATACATTTTTTCATTTGTTCCTATAGGTTTGAAATTTAAGCCTGAAATTCTTTTAACAGGACATAAAATTTTATTCCTAAAAATCCATGAGACAGGTAACACACTAAGGAATTCATTTAAGGTATAAATGATCAGTGCTTTAGATTCTATAAAATCTTTTTCCATATCGTTATCTATGTTGCTTTCAAACAAATCCTGTGAGGGAACTTCTAGCATCATCCTTATTTTTAGATATAAGAAAATTAAAGTTCAGAGAGAATAAGTGATTTGCTCAAAGTTACAGCTATTAAATGGCAGAACTAGGACTTAACCCAAATTTTCTGACTCTAAATCCTATGATTTTTATATACTACACTATTTCAACAGTTATATATGCAATTTGTTCAAGTGCTTACAAAAAAATATACACATACATACACTTACACATTATTTTTCATAACCCAATGAAGGAATTAAAATAGATATTATCCTTGTCATTTTATAAAGGAGGCACAGAGGTTAAGTCACTTTCACATGGTCACATAGCTACTACACAGGACTTTGAGTCCTGTTTGGACAGGGGAAGACTGCTGGGTATCTAAGGAAGTATTACTAATCCACACTGCCTGAAAAAAATGGATCTATAAGGCCAAGTAAGTATTGACCATTTATAAACCACTTTAACATAGATAGACAGACACAGATAGATAGATAGATATCTCTACAGGGTGGAAAAAATGCAAAACATTGCTGACTCTACAACTTTGGTCCCTGGTATGATTACAGCAGAAGGATAGCATAAAGAATAAAAAACCAATCATTAAAACAATTTGATATGGGACTGGTAAAAATATGTTAAACATACCCATTTTGAGGTCCTCCATCATTTATCACATTTAAGTGAGATAATTGCTTTTTCAAGTGGAGTTTGTAACTTGCATTAATTCTTAAAAATAACACCTGGAAAAAAGTAAAATGAAGTTTCTTAAAGTTCTACTGAAATAGAAGAAGTATCTGAGTTACAATTATTTGGAGAAAGTATTAAAAACAAAAACAAAAATCCTTTGCTTGGACATATATTTTTAAAATGTTCCTCTGAAAGTATTTAATTGCTATTTCATTACAGTTTTGTTTTCCTTAGATGGATTAAGGCTTGTTTTTCCATTCTCAGCCGTACTTCTTTTAGTGCAAAGGCTGCCTTTCTGCACTGTGGAAGAATTCCTGTGGTGTAAGTGGAATCAACTGTGACAGGTTAAAGGAATGAAAAGTAGTACAGACTTTTATAATATATTAACTAGGAACTGGATAGAGGGGGGGGAAATCCCAATGACAAACGCAAAGATACTGTTGTATTTCTAAACTAGTAAAATCACTTCAAAGTATTTTATGGTTCCTGCATGCAGAATTTTAAGGCAATTACCAAATATTTCTTTGGAAAATACTGGATCTAAAATGATATATAATCTATGGAAATGATTTTGTGGAATAACATTATATTTTCTATGGGGAAAAAATATAATCTATGAAAGTTTTATGGAACTACTGGTATTCAACTGGTAATACTGACATAAAACCTATATCTTTGCCCTGCTTTGACAAGAGTACCCTTTAAATTATAATGCACATAAAAACACATGAAGTATACCTGTATACCCAGCTCCCTGACCTGGCTAAGTCTTGCTCTAGAATTAGAACTCACATTGTAAATCCAAAAGGTCAGAATGTCAGAGGTGAGTGATCTTACGTGTGGAATGAATAGGATGGCTTGGCTAGGAAGAAATTAGTGGCCAGTACAGAGATCCGAACCCTTGTTAACGGCTCCCCCTCAGTCCTCAGTGAGCCCCAAAGGAGCTGGATGATATTTAATCATGAGGATGGTATAATTAATGAAAACCTAGGGAAGCATGAAGAAAAATGGTATGGGGGTAGGGGTTTCACTGAAGAATAAAGAAAATTCTGATAATACTTTCACAAGGAAATATAGCAGGATAGGGAAATATAGCAGGAATAGAGGATGGATATTTCATAGGTAAGAAGTGCCAAAACTACCCATTTTGCTATTTTTTTTTTTTTTTGGTTTGTGCCTACTACAGAAGATCACTTATGCTGATCTAATAAATACTACCTAAACCAGATTAAGTTAGTCATCTGTGTTAATCGTATTAACTCAATCACTAATCCCTCCCATATCCAATTTGGATTACAATCACAGTGAGTAACATAACTTACTTTTCATCAATAAATGTCAACTCTGATTTTCAAACTAATAATGGAATGAATGATATAACTAGAATTTGGAACATGTTATAAAGAACAAATGGAAAACCTGCTTTTTAGAATTTACTATGTAGTAAAGCTACAGCTCTGGCCTGTCAGTGTAAGGGGCACTTCGAAATTAGAAATTTTTATCCATGTTTCACTAGTCAATATAACAACCCCCCCCAATAACAATCATATTGAAACATGAACTAAGCTTCATTATGCCAAAAGCATGGAGAAACACCCCAATTCTGCATGGATATTATATATTATATACACAAAAGTAGTTTTAGGAATTACCGCTCACCTGTGTTTGTTCTTCTGGAAGGAGATCAAATATAGCTTCGTGCATTTTTGCCATTTGTTTACAAATATTCCTGAAACAGGCAGATGGAACGGGAGCTTTCACCTCATACTGGCAAGGAAAAATAAGAATGATGTTCATGTCCTCTGGATTGCATATTATCTTCACTGTGTTTACACGTTTTCTTCCCCTCCACATATCTGTGTGTAGTGCTCAAGCTCACACTTCTGCTGTGATCTGCACAACTCA